AGGGCGGCGCCGCTGGCCGGTTTTCGCGAGAGAGAGTGAGGGAGGGAGCGAATTGCAGAGATATCAAAGGGAGAGCCGGAGAGGGATCGAAATAATTTGGGGGGAATAAAATTTAGGGCCAGCTGCGGGTTTTCAACACGCATGTTTTAATTTTCAGTCAACCGCTTAAGTTTTCAACGCGCGCTAAAATAAAAATTTTCAAACGCTATAAAATTTTCAAACGCTATAAAAATTTTCAAACGCTATAAAAAAATAAGGCACATACGATTTATAGCACTTACAATATAAACGCTATCATTCAACGCTATAAAATAACAACTTTGTTGTAGTGATGTCGGGTATTTGTCATGAGATCATTTCGTAACTTCAAGTTGCTCAAGAAAATCAGCTACATCGAGGTGTGTGATATCATCAAGACCATCATAAACATTATTTTGATCAATAAAATTTGTCTAGGCATTTTTACCTTTCCCTTTTAATGATGCCTAATAGAGGTCAACAAGATGTTTTGCTATACAAAAGGTACAGGACCAATGACCTTCTATTCCACCCATGTAGCATATTTCCTCATAGTGTTTCTTTTCTTCACTTTTCTTCTTATTATTATCCCACTTCTGGGAGTTGTTTTGTCTTTTTTCCACGGTTATGATCATTGTGATTATAAGGCACATATCTGCCACGACCTCGTCCACGACAACGGCTACGTCCTCGGCCTCTTTCACGGTCATGATTTTGAGATTGAGTTGCATTCGCTTCAGGGAATGGGCTAGCACCAGTAGGTCGAGATTCATGATTTTTAATAATAATTCATTATTTTTTTCAACCAAAAGGAGGCATGAAATCAATTCAGAGTATTTCTTAAATCCTCTCTCTTGATAGTACTGCTGCAGGAGCATATTCGAGGCATGAAAGGTGGAGAATGTTTTTTCTAACATATCGTCATCAGTGATATTTTCTCCACACAATTGCAATTGAGAGGTAGTTTTATACATTACAGAATTATACTCACTGATTGATTTAAAATCTTGTAGCCTTAAGTGAAGCCAACCATACCGGGCTTTTGGGAGCATGACCAACTTCAGGTGGTCAAATCTCTCTTGCAAATTATTCCACAGAGTAAGTGGATCTTTTACAGTTAGATATCCACTTTTTAATTCTTCATCTAAATGATGGCGAAGGAAAATCATAGCTTTGACACGGTCTTGATTTGATCTCTTATTTTCTTCCACAATAGTATTTTCAAGACCCATTGCAATAAGATGTATTTCAATATCTAACATCCAAGATAAGTAGTTCTTTCCAGAAATATCAAGAGACATAAATTCTTGTTTTGTAAGATTAGTCATAGTGAAAAATGAATTGAATTGGAAAGAGAAATTTTACCTTAAAGGTTTACCCAAAATATGAACACGTGCCCAACGATGAATCTAACGGACTTGAAATAGATTGTTTCAATGGTAGAGTCTCGTGCTGATAACGTGTTGTAAAACTAATAAAGTAGAGTAGAGAAAGTAGACAAGAAGAAGAAAAAATTTTATTTCCTCAATTTCTCATTGCAAAGTGAGGTAGGAATACCTCTATTTATATACAAACTTAGATGATGATACATGAATCATATTAATTACTCATAGAGAATATCAATGGGTAATACATGTATCAATCTCTTTGGGAAACTAAATGAACATCCACATCATTTAATTGTTTCATAACAAAAACTTAATTATTCTAATTTTTATGCAATGAGGGTCGTTTTAATTTTTAATACTCTAAATTATCATAAATAATTCCCTACCTCACTAAGTTTCCCACTAATTTTTTAGGGAAAAATGTGTCAATGCCTCAAAAAAAGAATATGGATGTGACCTAGCCCCCCGTATTATTTTTTGTGTGCCTAAGCCTCTAATACATGAAGCTGTTATTTTCAGCTCCTATTTACATTTCCAAGACAGCACAACTAGCAACATTCTTCCAAAATCCAAAACTTCTCTCTCTCTCTCTCTCTCTCTCTCTCTCTCTCTCTCTCTCTCACACATATATATATATATATATATATATATATATACATATATATATATATATATCAACGATGGCCGATTCCGAGGATCATCCAGTCACGGCGAGGTCGGCGGCGGCGGCGGCGAGGGTTTTTGAGCGGTGGGGGAAGGCGATGGGGATAAGAAGAGGGAAGGCGAGGCGGTGCGCTGAAGGTGTTCTGGATTAAGATATGTTTATTTTGGTTAATATTTTCAGTTTGAGAAATGAAAATGATGGTCAATCTTAAGCATTGCAACAAAAAAAGAACATTCTGATTATAACTTACCCAGTTGAACTCTATGCAGAGAAGGTTAACAACAGGGGTCTATGTGCTATTGCTCAGGCTGAATCTCTTTGATATAAGCTCCTTGGAGGACTTGCTGTTAGGAGGTACAATTTTCTAATCATTATAGGTGCAATAGACTAACTTTAGGATTTTGTTTGTTGCTTGTTTTGTTTGTTTTAGATTATAACTCGAGAATCCTATCATATTGAAGTAGCAGAAATCAGATTTCATCATGCAAATGTAATTTTAGCTTACAGAAAATGGCTTTTCTTTCATTGAATTAGTTTGTTGCTTAATATCATCTCTCACTGATGTTTTTCCCTCGTACTGACACTTTGTTCCTAGGTGACTAGATTATGGCTTACCCTTCGAAGCATTAATGTGCAGTATGTGTCAATATTATTGATTACATTGCATTTTACTTGCTGGAAAATTTTAAATCTGATTTATTTAGATGCATGTATTATCTTCAATTCTGTTTTGATCTAACTCTTCGCACTAAGCTTGCACGCTAGTATCAATGTGTAAAAAGAGAGGACCTATTCCTTATAATTGACCTGAATTTTGAAGAATGATACTAGTTTTGTGCATGTAACATAGTTCCATTTTCTGAGTCAGAAATTTTATGTACTTCACATATGAGTTTTGTTAGTTATTAATAAGGGAAAATTGCACAATAATGCACATAACCTCCTTTATTTGTGCCTACAGTTGCACAAAACCACCCCCTAATGGACCCCTTAATGGTTCAACTCATTTATTAGCACTTAGGCCCCCTCAATTTGTGAGGAATTAGGGTTGTTAGATTTTTGTCATCTATAAAGCAAATAGGTTGTTCGGTAACCATCTTTGTGTCGGAAGATGACTACAAATAGACTCACTTCTTACCTTACCTGAAGTTAGTTCAATTACATACAAATAGACCCACTTCTTACCTTACCTGAAGCAACTTCCTATTATGAATATGTCGATTGATTGAGAAGTGCAAAATGTTGGTGTATCATAAGATATAATAACATCAACAAGAAAGCAAGGCTTGATTTTGAAGGACTAGTATTTTACAATTTCATATTTGGTTATTTGAGTCACTGTACAATTAATACGACTCATCGGCATGTAACATGAAAGAACAAGGATGCTAAAGAACTTGTCCAGATGTAGCAAGGAAATGATAGTTTCTTTGATAAATAAACTTCATGTTTAGTATCTCTTTAGCCTGTTGTCCACATTGCAACACAAACATTGATAAGAAAAATAAAGCTTGACCTTTATTGTTCTTATTGTATTTTCTAGTATTTTTGCCATCATATGTGTACGTTTTGTTTTGATACAACATATATTTAACAGGTTCAAATGAAAAGCTACAAGTTTACTTGAATGTCAATAGGAAAGTTTTGATACAACATATATTTAACAGGTTCAAATGAAAAGCTACAAGTTTACTTGAATGTCAATAGGAAAAGCCAATACTTAACATGTACATTTGAGTTCAAATGAAAAGCTACAAGTTTACTTGAATGTCAATAGGAAAAGCCAATACTTAACATGTACATTTGACAAGTTAACATATTCAGTTGCATGTTATCATGTTATAAAGAAGACTGACATGTAATATTAAAAGTTAACATATTATGCTGAAAGTTAACATATTCATAAGAAAGTTAACATATGCAGATGAAAGTTAACTTATACAACTGATAGTTAACATGTTCACATGAACGTTAGCATATAAACCTGAACGTTAACATATACACCTGAAAGTTAGCATGAGGTTTAGAGTGTGAGTCTTACACTTTTATGACTTATGAAAATCCTCATGTAAGTAATCTTGGATTTATTATTATTTTTTGCTCAAGTGGTTGTGATTTATGGTTCATGATTTAACTTGATTTTGATTTCGTTTTTGTGCATAATTTCAGAATGATGGTTGTAGATATCGGAAGTGGTTTGACAACCCCGTGTATAGTGTGGGAACTCAGTTATTTCCACTTATGAGAGAAGAACTTACTGATTTGAGGAGAAGCTTGAATTTGAAGGATAAATTGATTAAAATGTACTATGAGATTGAGATGTCATGTTTCATTGTTCATTTGATTATACTATGTGTACTCTTTATTCTTGTGTAGTTTCTTCAAAATTGCTTGTAACGTGTCATGTTTTATTGTTCAGTTGATTATACTATGCGTTCTTGTGGTTTGGTTGTACTTGGATCAAAAATTTAATGAAATATATTGTGTCTATTTAGTGATTAATTTTGGTGTAAGTTATTGTGATTGTATGTGAAATGTATTGTGGCTGTCATGTAAATATGTTGTGCATAATAAACTGAGGTTATATATAAATTATGTGTATCAAAACCTGAATATTATAGTACATAATATGTACATAATCTTGAGATTATTATGTACATAATATATACATATTATGTACATAATATTTAAGTTACGATACACTATTAAATCTCATACACTTGTACATAATCTGTACTTATCCTTCAAGTTATTATGATACTGTCAAATCCCATAATCAGCAAGAACATGACATGTTTCCTATGTTAACTTTAACTGTTACATGTTAATTTTCATCATTATATGTTAACATTCACTATTACATGTTAATTTTTACCATAATATGTTAACTTTCTTCATAACATGTTAATTTTTAATTGAACATGTTAACATTCACTATAATAAAATTCTTACATTCTTACAGCTGATATTGCTTGAATACACGATATGATTAGACTTACAATCTTAGAGATACAAAAACATTCTACAATGTGCTACAAAGGTCTTAACAACCTACATTGCTCTACCAAAAATATTATACTAATAAGCAATCCACACCAATCACCAATTGCTTCGTTACAATTAGCTTGACTGTGACCTTCAGCTTAGCATAGAGAGCATTTCAGTGGATGTTTTGTAAATTATTCTGTTGTTTATACGTCTAGTTCTATTTCTTTCCTTCCTCTTAGTAGTAATTGGTGGTAATATCTCGATTTCATCTCTTGACACACTTCGCTTCTCATAATCTAGGATGAGATAAAAGACTTGGTCATAGCTTTTTTAAAACGCTTCTACGAAAATAAAGCAGTGAAAGTTAACAGGTTTGGATGAAAGTTAACATAAAGCTGTGAAAGTTAACATTCAGTATGAAAATTATCAGACTAGAAGGAAAGTTAACACATTCTATTAAAAGTCAACATATAACTATTATAGTTAATATGTCCTGGTAAAAGTTAACATATAGCTATGATACTAACACATGACAGGAATAGTTAACATGTAAACGTTAAAATTAATATTTACGATTTGTCTATGTTGTGGAATCTGAAATCACAAAACTAACATCACATAAAGCCAATTTTTTAAAAAGAGTTTATGAATACATCACAGGTTTTTGCAGTGGATGGAAGCCCTTCAAAAAATTCTTCAGCAACATTTACTCCAAAAACCTTGGTTATTAAGTCTATCCGCATTGCGTAATCACTACCAGACAACTGATATTTTAATGGGTTTTCATCCATTCTAATATCTACAAACTTGCATCAGTTCCAAGAATGATAGAAACAACATTCTAGCATTTGCACACAAAAATGTAGTGATATATGCAGCAGCTTAGTTCCAAGAATGATAGAAACAACATTCTAGCATTTGCACACAAAAATGTAGTGATATATGCAGCAGCTTAGGTGTGTCAAGCAGATAAACAAACTTTGGTCTGCAAGTGAAATTTTTACCCATATCCCGGCAAATCCACATTGTACCAACTTTTATTCACCAAGAAGTGATTAATAAGCAAATAAACAAACTTTTATTCACCAGAAATCTAACAGCCTTAAAAAACCCAAAATTAATCAAGGCGTTAGGGCCCTTACAAGCCTTAAACACAAGATATAGTCTTCATACTAAAAAGCTTGAGAAGCTTAGTTTTTGCGGCCAATGTCCTTTAGAGCACAAATTTGTTCCTCTCCCATAGTAGTCATCACAGTCACAACCAGATCCTTCCCATCAGCAAACCCATCACATATTTGGGTAAGGAGATTGTCATCAGTTGGAAGCCTCAAGTCATCTTTGGTGTTTCCATTTTTAGTCAAAAGACTCACGAAACCATCTTCAGATACGTCTATGAGTTGATAATCAGTGCGGTTGACATGAGGAACATCACAGTTGTGGGAGGAAGGCACAATATCTTCAAGCTTTTTCGAATTGAAGATATCAATTACCACAAAGTGACACTTCGCATGACTGTGCTTGCCTGTTTTGGAAGTTGAAACCTCAACAGCCTTGCAGGGCCTCTCCTTGATAACGAGGTAGTCGTTCTTTCGAATAGTGCCAGCTTGCTGAGGGTAGGTCTTCGATGCGCCGGCGTCGGCCTTCGATTCCAAGTGGTGCTCCTCGTCCGACATCGATCTCCTTCTTCTCTCTCTACTCTACTAGCCATTTTTACAAGGAGCTTAAAATAAATTCAAAATTTTAAAAACTGAATCCAGATCTGAAGGAAACCAAGATGCAAGGGCACATATAAACCCAAGAAAAATCATTTTTATTCACCTTCGATGTAGGTGGTGGCTGGAGTCTCAAATCCAGCCTTACATATGTCACAGAAGACGCGACCCTGGACTAGGAACCTGTTGCTCTTACCCTTGGGAACTGTGCAGGCCCCACTCACCGCCAAGCAGAAGAGCCCACCACGACGGCGGTGAACAACAAAGCTGGTTACAGTCACTATTAAAGTTGGTCCAGTCGAAGTCGGTCTAGTGGGTGATCGCGGTGGAGGAGGGCGCGTGTAAGCTCACGGGTGGTGTTGAAGTCAGTCCAGTCGATGGAGGCTCGGCCGATGCGGGAGGAGACGAAGACAGATTTCTTGGGTGAGAGCTGAGGGCATTTTTTGGGAGCCTATGAAAAATACATAGCGTACATGTATTACAATGGGCTTTTGGGGCTGGGCCACACTTTGTTGTCTCTTTTGGGGCTAAAGAGTAAGGGAAAAAGATGCTGGGGCTGGGCCACATTCATATTTTTTGGGGGGGGCCTTGACATAATTTTCCCAATTTTTTAATATGGTAGAATATGTGAGATGATATTTGTGTCCAAAAGTTATTATAGGCTCCGATAACATAGTGTATTTCAAAAATATAGGAGAGTGCTGCTACAGGGACCCAAAATATGGGACCAAGGGAGGGGACATGTGAGGTGTCTCATCCTTATTGCATAATGAGTTGGCCATGTCAACTCATTATGCAATAGGTCCCTTGGTCCTATATTTTGGATCCTTAAGTCATTTTCCAATATAGGTTGTGCTCATAATTGGAGGATGTTTTCGGCATTATCTTCTTATATTTGGATTTTCCCCATATCGATCCAACCAAAACCGGATTTGACCGGAATCTAATCTTTGAATCAGATCTGGTTATTGGATTTCGGGTATCATCCACAATCCTACCCGTAAAGATTAACCGCCCGTGGGGTCATTTCCTCGTGAAGTCAGGGGCATTTTCGTCGTAATATACGTTGCATTTTCTCGTGCGATCACTGGACAGCTGCAATAATAACAAAAACAATTCGCTCCTCCCTCCCTTTTTTCGCCTTTGTCCTCGCAACTAGGGTTCTTCTACTTCATCTTCAACCCTCTCTCTCACACCGATCGGTTCGAAACAGTAATGGTCACTGGATCAAGCGATCATCAGAAGCAGCAGAAGCAGAGGGATGACGGCAACAAGAGCCCCGCCAACTCGTCGAAGCTCCGGTCGTCGTGGGGGACTCCGGCGATCTCCGGCGGCCAGTC